TTCCTGTTAACTTTTACGTCTTTGTTATAACCGAATATATCATAATTATAGTGATATAATTCCTGTTATCTTCTAACTCTCGTTTTAAAGACGAAAATAAAAAAAAATAGATTAGATTTTACCTCCAAAGCTAAATATGTATATCCACACGTCGACGGGAGTGGCCAGTTTACTGTGCATCCCATATCCATCCTGTGTACGCTAGTGGATAGTTCACTGTGCACCCATATCCATCCTGCGTACGCTAGTGGATAGTTCACTGTGCACCCCATATCCATCCTGTGTACGCCAGTGGATAGTTCACTGTGCATTCAAATATCCATCCTGTGTACGCTAGTGGATAGCTCACTGTGCATCCCATATCCATCCTGCGTACGCTAGTGGATAGTTCACTGTGCACCCCATATCCATCCTGTGTACGCCAGTGGATAGTTCACTGTGCATTCAAATATCCATCCTGTGTACGCTAGTGGATAGTTCACTGTGCATCCCATATCCATCCTGTGTACGCTAGTGGATAGTTCACTGTGCACCCCATAATCCATTTCCCGTGTTACGCCAGTGGATATTTCACTGTGCATTCCAATATCCATCCTGTGTACGCTAGTGGATAGTTCACTGTGCATCCCATATCCATCCTGTGTACGCTAGTGGATAGTTCACTGTGCATTCCATATCCATCCTTTGTACAGTATCCATCCTGTGTACGCTAGTGGACAGTTCACTGTGCACCCCATATCCATCCTGTGTACGCTAGTGGATAGTTCACTGTGCATTCCATATCCATCCTGTGTACGCTAGTGGATAGTTCACTGTGCATTCCATATCCATCCTGTGTACGCTAGTGCATAGTTCACTGTGCATTTCATATCCATCCTGTGTACGCTAGTGGATAGTTCACTGTGCATTCCATATCCATCCTGTGTACGCTAGTGCATAGTTCACTGTGCATTTCCATATCCATCCTGTGTACGCTAGTGGATAGTTCACTGTGCATTCCATATCCATCCTGTGTACGCTAGTGGATAGTTCACTGTGCATTCCATATCCATCCTGTGTACGCTAGTGGATAGTTCACTCTGCATTCCATATCCATCCTGTGTACGCTAGTGGATAGTTCACAGTGCATTCCATATCCATCCTGTGTATGCTAGTGGATAGTTCACTGTGCATTCCATATCCATCCTGTGTACGCTAGTGGATAGTTCACTGTGCATTCCATATCCATCCTGTGTACGCTAGTGGATAGTTCACTGTGCATTCCATATCCATCCTCTGTACGCTAGTGGATAGTTCACTGTGCATTCCATATCCATCCTGTGTACGCTAGTGGATAGTTCACTGTGCATTCCATATCCATCCTGTGTACGCTAGTGGATAGTTCACTGTGCATTCCATATCCATCCTGTGTACGCTAGTGGATAGTTCACTATGCACCCATATCCATCCTGTGTACGCTAGTGGATAGTTCACTGTGCACCCCATATCCATCCTGTGTACGCTAGTGGATAGTTCACTGTGCATTCCATATCCATCCTGTGTACGCTAGTGGATAGTTCACTGTGCATCCATATCCATCCTGTGTACGCTAGTGGATAGTTCACTGTGCATTCCATATCCATCCTGTGTACGCTAGTGGATAGTTCACTGTGCATTCCATATCCATCCTGTGTACGCTAGTGGATAGTTCACTGTGCACCCATATCCATCCTGTGTACGCTAGTGGATAGTTCACTGTGCACCCATATCCATCCTGTGTACGCTAGTGGATAGTTCACTGTGCATTCCCCTATCCATCCTGTGTAAAGCTAGTGGATAGTTCACTGTGCATTCCATATCCATCCTGTGTACGCTAGTGGATAGTTCACTGTGCATTCCATATCCATCCTGTGTACGCTAGTGGATAGTTCACTGTGCACCCATATCCATCCTGTGTACGCTAGTGGATAGTTCACTGTGCATTCCATATCCATCATGTGTACGCTAGTGGATAGTTCACTGTGCATTCCATATACATCCTGTGTACGCTAGTGGATAGTTCACTGTGCACCCATATCCATCCTGTGTACGCTAGTGGATAGTTCACTGTGCACCCATATCCATCCTGTGTACGCTAGTGGATAGTTCACTGTGCATTCCATATCCATCCTGTGTACGCTAGTGGATAGTTCACTGTGCACCCATATCCATCCTGTGTACGCTAGTGGATAGTTCACTGTGCATTCCATATCCATCCTGTGTACGCTAGTGGATAGTTCACTGTGCATTCCATATCCATCATGTGTACAGTAGAGGCTAGTTCACTGTGTATCATATAGCCATCGTGTGTACGGTTGTGGCTACTTTATTGTGTACCCCGAATCCATCCTGTGCACGATGGCACAAGGGCATATGGAGAGACAAGACCTGGGCACTGTCATAAATAACAAGGGTTAACAGGACTACAGTTATTTATTTGCATATTAATATTTTTTATCTATTTCAAATAAATTTCAGATGCTCAAAATTCCTGGTATCATATTTTCACACATAATATATCTTGACATATACAGATTATTACAGTCTCTTATTTTTCTAACATTCCGGCCGTTTCCGACTGAGGCAGAGTGACCAAGAGAGAAAAAAAGAACAACCACATTGACTATCATTCAGTCGTAAGTACACTGGGCATGCCACGCCTGACGTGAGCACAAGTGATTTTGTGGATAACTACAGGACCTAATTTCGTTCTACTCCTGTTAGGGATACCAGTCTCACGAGCAGTGGATACACGTGTCCTGCTCGTGAGACTGGTATCCCAAACGGGAGTAGAATTAAATTAGTTTCTGTAGCTATGAACAGCCACACATGTGCTCGAGTCAGGAGTGATATGTCCATTGACTTACTCTGGGCATCCTGACGTTCGCAGTATGATGATTCCAGTGGATAAGGCGTCAAGAAATTTGCCTAACGTCCCTGGAGGCTGATTAAATATTTCAGGTTCGATCCTGGGCTAGCCGCAGTACTGTTTTCTGCTTTAAATCACTTATTTCGTGGATGCATATTATATATATATACTATATTATATATATATATATAATATATTATATATATATATATATATATATATAATGTCGTGCCGAATATGTAAACTGGTCAATTGGCAAGAAACTCATTTAAAATTAAGTCCTTATCTAAAATATTTCTCTTGTACGTTTAAAGATATATTGTTTTCATTAATGTTAATGTAAAAAATTTTAATTTTGCTTCAAAAGAATCTTAGAAAACTTACCTAACCTTATTATAACAAGAACAATTTATTTTAGCCTAACCCAACTAAATACATTTTAGATTTGTTTACAATAATTTAATACTAAACAAACACAGTGAAATATATTTTTTTCGTTAGGTTCAGAATGATTTTGGCGAAATTATTGCATAAACAAATTTTCACTTGTCCTATATGGCAAGATGAGCGTTGCTATTTAAGCCAAGATCGCAAGTTCTGCCTATTCGGCACGACATATATATATATAATATATATATATATATATATAATATATATATATATATTATATATATATTATATATATATAATATATGTCGTGCCGAATAGGTAAAATTGGTCAGTTAGCAAGAACTCGTTTAAAATTAAGTCCTTTCTAAATTTTCTCTTATACGTTTAAAGATATTTTTTTCAATTATGTTAATGTAAAAATTAATAATTTTGTACCAAAAGTACCTTAGAAAACTTACCTAAACTTATAACAAACGTAATTTAATTTAGCCTAATCTAACTAAATATATTTAAGATAAGTTTACAGTAATTTAATATACAAACACAATGAAATATATTTTTCGATAGGTTCAGAATGATTTTTGCGAAATTATTGCATACACAAATTTTCGCTTGCCTTTTTCCGTCAGAAGAGCGTTGCTATTGAAGCCAAAATCGTAAGATTTTCCTATTCAGCACGACAGTATATATATATATATATATATATATATATATATATATATATATATATATATATTATATATATATATAATATTGCTTGAGTGTTTGTGTGTGTTTTATACATGCGTGCATGTTTATGTATGCCAACATATAAGTACGTCTAAATACTACGTCAACATGCAAAAGCAAAAAGAGTCATTGAAAAAATCACCTGATATTGTTAGAGTGCAACACTTTTACCATACATTATAATCCAATAAACATTATAAACACATAATGAAGAATAAAACAATGACATAGTAAAATAGAAAATGGAACACTGAAACACTTGATACACAATACATTAAATAACTAACCATGCCCCTTTAAAAGGGAGGGAGGGTGCCTTGAAACTGATGATGGGTTCTTGATCCAAAGAACTGAAGATACCCCTCTCCTTCCCCGGATCAAACGAGATTACCCCCAATCCCCTACGGGATTAGTACTTCCCTATGAATATAACAACCCAGTATACAGTGTAATGCACACCACAGATAATAGCAAGTAACAAGTAGCTAAAATATATACAACTTGGGAGATAAAATTGTTAGCAGAAGTTAACCCGACCTCCAAACAGCACTTGGTTTTTGAACGCGTTACAGTGTGTCAGTTTCTGTACTGTCCAATATGTGCCAAAATCAAATTTTGTACTAGATTAGGCTGGGTTTACATAACCCAACCTTAATTAACATGTATTTACGTATAACTGACCAACAATAACCAAATTATGTAAAAGAGTAGACAATGTCTGGTAAAAGAGTAGACAATGTCTGGTAAAAGAGTAGACAATGTCTGGCAGCGGAGAAGACGCTTAGCAAAGTTGCCGCTGCTTATATGGTTGGGAATAACACACACTTTAATATGAAGGACGGGTTGCAGAAACACACACACCGTAATCAGGCTTATTATGATCTGTTCACTTACCTTCGTATTAAGTGCAATTCTAAGCACCATATAGCAGGAATGTAGGAAGACAAAAGCCAGGCTGTTAGAAAACACCAACAAGAACGTTGGAGATACTTACAGTGCTTGTACCATGCATCTGCAAGAGGAAAATACAATCATAATAATTTTCTTAACACACACACACACACATATAAATATATATATAATTATATAATTATATATATTTTATATATTATATATATATAATATTTTTATATATATGTTTTTATAATAGAATCAGTTATGAGTAGACATGAGATATTTATAAAATATTTGTAAATATATTCACTAGTATATGAGGGCATTGTAGACATAGTACAAAATCCTCACAAGCAAATTATCACTAACATTTAGTGAGTGTTATTTTATATATTTTTGTGAGTGCCTGTAATTGATAGTTTTCCCCTCTTTGCTTTTTTTTTACCACATCGGTCATCTCCCACTAAGGTACAGTTGACCTTCCCGAGAAAAAAAAATCCACCATCATTCATTCATTAGCTATCTTCCTAGAAGCGCACGAACATCACACACAGTTCAAATCTGATACAATTAAAAAGAAAACACTACCTCATACGATAATATATTATACAATAATAGAGATGACAAAAAAGAGACTGGGATAAAAATGAATAAAGCCTCGAAATTCCGAAACACCGCAGTCAGCTTCTGATAATGGCCCTTAGAAGCGAATCTCTCTCTCCCTCCTCTTCCTCCAGGAAAAAATACGACAACAATAACATCCGTTTCTTTTACTGTGGCTATATATCAAAAAGTCATTTATAATACAAGCATACGGGTAATAAAAGTCGAGGTAATAAGAGGCTGAGACCTGCAATAAAGGCGAGAATGCTTCCTGATTACACCATTACGATCGTTTGATGTTGTAGTGTCGTGCTGTTTGCTGAGAAAACTTTCTCGAGATCAAAGATAAGACGCAGGGTGAGAACATTACCCTTTGAAGCAGGCGACACGTAGATGGTCTGTTTTATGATGGAATCTATGTAGGGGTAACAATCTTGCTTTTCAGTCGTATGCATTATATATCTATGTTATTATTATATTACTATTATTATATTATTTTTTATTTATCATCTATGATACACAGTTTTATTCGCCGACAGAAGTTTACCAGTGTGTATATACATAGAGATGTGGATCTGTGCGTGTGTATACTGGAGGCTTATTTTAATCCTTATTCTCATAACGGCTAGGGTATTTTTTTCCGTGCAGTTTATCTGGAGTTTATCTGGAGAGAGTTCCAGGGGTCAACGCCCCCGCGGCCCGGTCTGTGACCAGGCCTCCTTAGGTCAGTGTCCCAGGATGCGACCCACACCAGTCGACTAACACCCAGGTACCCATTTTACTGATGGGGAACATAGACAACAGGTGGAAAGAAACACGTCCAATGTTTCTACTCTGGCTGGGAATCGAATCCAGGCCCTCACCGTGTGAAGCGAGAGCGTTAACCACCAGGCCACCAGAGCCCCCTGAAAGTCCTGAACCTAAAACCTTACTACAGTCCTTCTAGTAATGTAAATAATGATTGAAGTTTATTGATGATGACGACGACGCTGCTGCTGCTTCTAATAATAATAACTGAAATTATACGAGATATAGGTCAATCTTATTAGAACAATTGAGACATATTTTACTGGTCTCCTACCCCAGTATGTTTCACAAGGCCAGTCTCTCTTGTCACCTATCCACGAATACCTCACAACACAGGTATCCCTGGTCTCTTATGCTAGTACCTTAAGTCTCCAATCTCGTATACCTAAAAATACGTCTGTCCCTACTCTCCTATTTCAATATACTTCAAGGAGTAGACTTTCTACAGCAACATTGAATAGCTCCTGATAACGCACAGAGACGTGTGAAAGTACTTGAGCTGAAGATTTCCATCCCCGTGGCTTGCCTTGCATATATATATATATATATATATATATATATATATATATATATATATATATATATATATATATATATATATAGCACCCAGCAGAGCTGGGTGTTTTACCTTTACCTTGATCCGAGGACATACGGTGGTGTGGGTGCCTCTGAGCTAATTTTATTCTACTCCCCATTTGGTGTACTAGCCTCCACAAGCAATGTATGCTCAGAGGCACCCACACCACCGTATGTCCTCGGATCAAGGTAAAGGTAAAACACCCAGCTCTGCTGGGTGCTTGATTCTTGTAGGATTGAGTGGTCCTGTGGGTTAGAGCGTCATGTGATTTCCGATCACCATGAGTTGGGCCAAAACGACATGGGTTAGAGTCCTCGGTTAGTCGTAGTGTTATATATATATATATATATTATTAAACCCTTTATTAAGATAAAGATAAAAATTATTATACAAGTTCATTGTTTTTCAACAACTTACATCATGATTAAATGAAAGTAATAAACTAACCCAGCTCAGAAAAATAGCTTGCACATTCCAATATATTATGTTAGATTAACCCTCAGTCTTTTAATACGACTCTTTATTTATTTTGTTTTTTTTAACAAATTAAAGATTTATTGTACAGTAAATGATAAAATTTTGTGTGTTTCAGGTAGCAGAGGTCAGGTCAAGGATGTAACTAAACTCTGATCTAGAGTGGCCATGCTCTTCAATCAGAACATTAGTCAAATTAATAAAACTCGCTAAAGTCAAGTATGAAGAATAATATTTACCAGGAGCGGCCAGTTGTACTCCCCACTTCCCTTCCATCTCACCCCACATCAAGACACATAAACCACATGAGGGGGGAAAAAAACAACAAAACCTAAGAAAACACAGACGGAATTTCTTATTAAAAACTTGGAGAGCTGTTTCTTGTGGATCAGCTCAAGTCCAAACAGAACCTGGCAATTTGAATCCCGGGCGGGTGTTCCCAGCCGGGCGGTATATTGGAGGCAGTATCCTTCAATTTTAGAACATAACTTAGGGCAAACTGGGGGTATCGATTGGCCTAGCTAAGTCCACACGCAGTAAGTGGAAGTGGCAGAGCTGTTGAGGATTAATAGAGCGATGCGTAAGAACAGTGTAGTGACGTCAAGACAAAGCACACAGTGGATGAAATATGCAGGATATTGTGAAGTGTGGTATAGTGACTGTGGTGGGAAGGCTTCTTTGTGTGTGTGTGTGTGCGCGTGCGTGCGTCTGTGCGTGTGTTTGTATGTGCGTGCGCGTGCGTGCGTGCATGTGTGTGTGCTGTCGTGTGCTCTTGTCCATTTATGTTTGTGCCTTTGTAAATAGCTAATGACCTGACTCCCGAATATGTGTGTACTTTTTAGAAAACCTGCTTCCTAACTTTTTGTGTTTAAGTTTGCAGGGTAGCGAGCTGTAGCTCTTGACCCCGCCCCCAAACTTTCGATCCACTGACAGGAGACAGCCTTCTTACATTTTCTTTTTAACCTTTTTTTCTGAATTCGTATTCTCTGTAATATTCCACTTCTTCACTATTCTTTTGTTGAAATATTTTCTCAGTCGTGTAGACAGCGTGGATGTACAGTTTTTGAGAGAGAGAGAGAGAGAGAGAGAGAGATTAATCACGGTCTCTTATTCATTCTTATTTGATTAGTAAAGATCTTATCCCTGTCTACCCTCTCTATACTCCAGCGAATCTTTTATGTCGTGATTACATCCCCTCACTCGTTGGATCTTTCAGTTCTGGTTATATGTCCGTATACTTGTAAGTCTATTCAATTCAATAATAATTCTCCATGAGCATTAAAGAGAATGAATTACTATATTAGGAAGCAGTAAACCCTTTGGAGTCTTCAAATGCTTGGGAAATTGGAGGCAATTAGGTTTGATCCAAGGAAAGGGAGAGAATATGCAATTTCTTGGGTGCCTTTCTGCTCCATTATCAAGTTACCCCTTTGAAGGAAAACAATAAAATCGCCTCATAGGTCTCTCACTCTATCTTCATGCTACGGTGAAGAGAAAAACCTGAAATAACCGAGGTTTCTTGTTTTTGGATCTATTCTCTTTCACATTTTTTGTGTTATATTTGTAAGCTACATCAGCTCTCCCCTCTCCGTTCTCTTATTTATAATGTCATATATATTACTTAAAGCTTAGCTTACCCTCTCTTATTTATAATGCCTCATTATCTCGCTATATTGCATTTTCTCTCGTCTCTTTCTAGCCTCTTCTTTCTTTCTCAATTTTAGCTTTATTTTCTTTCTTTCTCAATTTTAGCTTTATTTTCCTTCTCTCTTGCTTTCTTTACCACACCACTCTCTTATTTATCGCAAATTTCTTCTCAGTCCTACTCGTCTGCGTTACACTAGACAGAGACTAATTAAATATGTGGATCACTAGACCACTATACAAAAACACAGAGAGAGAGAGAGAGAGAGAGAGAGAGAGAGAGAGAGAGAGAGAGAGAGAGAGAGAGAGAGAGAAAGAGAAAGAGAGAGAGAGAGAGAGAGAGAGAGAGAGAGAGAGCTGCAAGAACAGACCTTACTATCGAAAAAACACTAGGTGCCTTGAGGGTATATGATGTATTAAGCATCTAACAAGGTTCCTTAGTGAGTGCTGATAGAAGCAGCAGAGACCCCTGTGCGTTCCACTAGCAAAAATGTACAAGTGATATGATGATAAATGTTTATGCTCTGCCTGCAGAGTATAAATGACTTGTGTTCATCGACAGAGTCACGCGCAGAGCTGACGAAGTATAAAAACAGACCATACCATCTAAAAAGTCCCGTGGTGGAACTGTTGAGGTAAGACACTGGGCTGACATGTGATAACTATCTACCGGATACTGTGTGTGAATATGATAACTGTATACAGTACCGACAAGTTGATAAGTAAGACATGTGCAACAGTTAGATATCCGAAACGTTTCGCCTACGCAGTAAGCTTCTTCAGTCGAGTATATAGGACGCAGCAGAAGCAGTAGAGATGTATGCTACCAAACATCTGTGTGAATCTTGTGAATTTATGAACTAAGGAAAATATGAATGTGCAGAGCTACTTATTACACAGAGCTAAGGAAGACATCAATATGCAGAAATTATGAACTTAGGAAGACATCAGTGTGCAGAGCTAAGACATCAGTGTGCAGAGCTAAGACATCAGCGTGCAGAGCTAAGACATCA